GGTACTAAATTTTATGACTAAATATTCATTGTTTGATCATCATCTTGCGAAGCATACTACTCAAGATTGAGTCAATTGTTACCAAATCTTTATTTTTATTTTGTTTATTGATTTACTTGTATTTTAAGCTACGAAAATTTTGTTTTCTTTTACTTATTACATTTATAATAATTCTAAATAACAATTAAGCCCGAGCGTTTGTGTTTGCATTTTCGCAAAATGTTCAGCAAAATCTCTTCATTATTTCTTTATTGAATTCAAGTAATAAAGAATATTTTAGATAATATATCATAGAACAAAAAATAGTATCGTGCATTTTCTGTGCACCTATTTTCTTCCTAGAAAATTGTCTTGTGTAGCCTCGAAGGATAATAAGAGATAAACAACTCTCATTATTCTCAGCAGCATTTGCATCTGTATTGGTCAAATGGCGTGCCTAATAGCATGAGCTAAATTACTAACAATTTAGAAATCTAGAACGTTAAAAGAAATTTCTTGTTAAATCGACGACGCAGCTCCCAAGGTTATTTAGTATTCCATGATGTCTTTTAAAATATTTTTAGTTTTTTAATTTAAAAATAAAGTAATGCCTATATATGTCCCACTGCTCGGGGAATGCCTCCTCTGTATAGGGCATTAGGACAGTAGGTGGTGGATAGGCCACGCGGCCCTACTGTGGATTGCCGAAATATTTTTATGCGCCCTCATTTTATAACACTGAAACATTATCCTAACATTCCTGATTGAATTTTTTAATAATATCTCCATTACAGAGCCTCCTTTTTCTCGTCTGATAGAAGTGATCTTACTGCTAGATTGTTTATGATCACACTTGTTTGGATTATAAATTTCTTTATAGCGACAGTGACAGACACGTCCCTTATCAAGGTAATGTAGCGTTAGACAAATATTCTATAAAATATTGTCTGAAATGTATATGGTTATTTTAAATAGATTAACATTTAAAAAAAATCTACAGACAAAATTCGTCATGATAGCTAAAGAATTTTTTTCTTAATGAAGTCTTAATGAAGTAATAATAACCATTGCAAACATTTTATAAGAAAGTTAGTGACTTATAAAGTGGCTCTTTGAAAATATCCTCACCGATATCCGGTAAACTTCGTTTACCGGATATCGGTGAAAGGAAGTGTGCTAACTTGATAGGAAACAACGATTAGCCCCATCGTAAATTAAATTTTGCTTCCTGTTTCAGCTGACCAAAATAGCAGCCCTATGGGGGATGTTCTCTACAATTTTCGTTCTTGTGTTTACTTTAATATCCACGGAATACTTTTTCACGACTGCTATAAGTCAAATATTTGATGTCACAATCCCTCGAGCATATGTAAGTTTTATATAACATTTATTACATTTACATATTAAGATTGCTTAACTATTTCCCCGTCTATAATAAAAAATGCCTGAGTCGACTTGTGAAAATAAATAAATATCCAGAATTTATTTATTACCGTGAATTAACCATATTTACAGTGTAAAAACACACCCACATATAGTATTATACCTATTTATATATATTAACTTCTATTATTATACGGCCCAAATGTTGAACAAAGTTTAAAACTGACGTTAAAAATTATTATCTGTCACTGTTCAAGCTGATTATCACCGACAACATTTGTGTATTTATTTTTTATTCTTTTCTTCCTGTATATATTTTTGTAAGTTATTGTACAGTATATGTTTAGATTTATGTATGTCTATTGGATCTTATTTCGTATATATTAGTATATTATTATTATACAAAATACAACATATTCGTTTATTAAATATTATTTAAATATTAGTATGTAAGTTTATCATTTACACCACCTACCGTTGTTCAAATTAAATATTTTTAACCACAAGGTTGTCTGGAAGAGATCGCTCCTTAGCGATAAGACCGCCTTATTGTTTATACCTCTTAAGTTTATAGTTCTGTAACATTTCCTTTCATGTTTTTTTGGTGTTCAATAAAGAATATATATAATAATGATAAAGTTCTATTAGGTTTTCAGGATGTATTAGTGTATATACTGAAGATTGGTCCCATTACTACAGACTTAACAACATTCTTAATATTTCTTGTTATATGCACCAGGTTTCATATCTGTTATTTAAAATATAATCTCTATGAAAAACTTAACTCATACTCATAGCGGAATTTATATTAATTTGCTTGGTAAGTAAATTTAACAACACCCAAACAATAAGCTACTGCGGTTACATTCTTTTAGCGTTGTTTGCATTTCGTTGTTAGAAATCATTCATTTATTCTATTGCATTTGAAATCTTTTTAATACTATCGGCGTTAAAAGTAAAAAAGGGGGTATACATTAGCTTCACCAAAAAAGTTTCTCTGGCCAGTGCCCTCTTTATAATTAAAGACGGATTAAGAAAGATGTTCCCTAGAGCTAAATGAAAAGAATTCAGTGAAAAGTACTCGAATATGAGTCTTCTCGTCGTCTAATTTGCATTTCCCTTTGCTACTTTGCCTCGCCTTTCTTTCACGGCCTCTATTTACTGCCACCTGAATTTTTGTTGATCTTATTTCGCCACGAATGAGATTCGAGTTGATTGATCGCTTTTTTTTGGAATGATGCTCGAGTCACGTTCGTACTATAAGTGCAACGGGGGTGCATTTTTGTGATCAGTTAGATGCTCAACTCATACTTGCTTTGCAGTAATTAGTTACTGCTACTAGAGCTATAAAGAAGTAATAAAAATCTACAATTCTGTAAAATATTGTATGGCATGTTGTTTCTTAAATTAATGGTTGTCAAGGGAAGTTATGGATTTTTTTTAATTCACATTTTAACTGTAATTTAAGAAATTATAATGAGCGCTGATAAAAAACTATTAGTATACATTGTGCGTAAATTCGGTCGACTTGATCTCGATACCGCTGTTTCAAAATAGAGTGCAATAAATTTAATGAGTGTAAAAATAATTTAAATTGTTTATAGTGCTAACTTTTGCACTCTACATATTTTAATAGAGTGTAAAAATATTTATGTTATCTGGGAATTTCATTAAGCATGTAACAGGCAGCGCGTCTCCTTTTGTCGTTGTTGCGTTCGCCAGATGAAATGCGAAGAAGGTGAAGTTGTGCACCTTCTTTTTTACGGCGATTCTCTTCTTTTTTTTTAAAACATTCGCCGTAACCTTGCTAATCCACCAAATGGCTCCTAACTACCAATAATCAACGTTTAATAAAACTAGTAGTAATTGGGAAAAAATTGAAACAACCTTGCCCGAGGAAGGTCTAATAAAACGTTTGATGGCGTATCGGCTTTCAAAGTTGCGCAGGGGATTAATGAATCTGTTGTGAATACTTCGAAATGCTCATTTACTTGATTATCTGCGCCCACTACCAGTTTTAACTTTTGAGTTTAACAACCACAGTTACATTGTGGTATCGATATCTCGACGGCTCAGGTAATTTTATATGGTTGTATTTTTAATTGATATCGTATTTCAACTAATGAATATTAATGCTCTATTATATTTCTCTATATTTGTATATAAATATGTATAATGTTATTTAGAAAAAAAATAATACTTTTTCCTCTTGCTAAAGAAAAATCTTCAATTTATTTAAATCTTGTAAACTCTAAATGATAACCTTTAGCTTGTTCAATGTTTACAAAGTACCTATCAATGCAGATTTTCTGCATAAATCGGAGTGAACTCGATTTATGTGACGAACGTTAAAAGGCGATCTTGAGCCCGCACGGTCTTTACAATGTCATTATTTACAGAGTCTTTATAATGTTACTAGCTGGTAGAAAAATCTTATGTGTAACCGTATATGTATCTATTCGAGCTATAGTTCAAAAGATAAACAGCAATGCCACCAGCGCCACCTATCCGACACTAACTTTGTTAGTCGAAATGTTCATGTCGCCTTTTATATGTTCTAAGTTTTATATGATATCAATTGGGATAATGGTCCTCGAGTTTAAGATGAACATACATACACACATTCATTTTGTTTTATACAGCGTGTCGTTACAACCGCGACAATAAATGAACACACATAAAGAGGATAACTTTTTTAAATTGTATTAAACATTTACATTCTTTACATCAATAATTACCGAGTTATTAAATTTTACAAATCAAACGTTTTTAGAACATTCTTACGTATAAAACTGTAACGGAAAGTTCATTTGTAAAGGTCACAAATCATATGAATGGGTTGAATAAATTTAAACGGGATTAAAGAGAAACATACCGTTAGAAGGAAACACTTGTAACGCGACGTTGTGGCAACGAATGGAAATGTCACTGGATGTATAAATCAGTCAGTTGTAGTCGTATAGGTGTTAGAAATTTTGTCCCTTTTTTATTTAATTAGTTCGTTTGAAAAATATTATTATGTAATAATTTTTTTAAATGTAGATTTTTTTAACGTTTTATATTTTTTTTATGATTATTGGCAAGCATCGTTAGACGTGTGTTCATTTATTGTCGTGGTTGTAACGGCACGCTGTATATATAGTTTATTTACAGTAAGTTGTGAGAAATTTTGTTAATAAGAAAGTAGTCGCTTATTGGTTTGGAATGTTAAAAAAACATTCACACAGTTATTGGCATGACAAAGTAGGTGAATAATCTCACACTATATTTTTCTGCTTATGTTTAATTTTTTAAGTTATAACTTTTATTTATGGTATTAGAATTTTTTGTTACTGTGAACAAGTAAGTGCCTTGAAACTATCCCAACCAGTTATAGTAAGTTAATGTTTTATAAGCCAATGGTTGGTTACCGGTGGTACGGTCGGAAACTTTAATAAAAACACGTTCACTCTGAAAATACTCGCTTATACATAGGAATGTGCATAGTAACTCACAAATCGCTATTAGCTACAGCCGCGTTACCACGACATTGTATTGAAGATGTGATTTTTTCATTTCTAATTTTCTAGTCGTCGTCTATTGATCGAATAACTTTCACCTTCGGAATCGGGCTCATCGGTGTTTATGATTTTGGAACAATGTCTCCGTACACCATGGTGGATAACGCGGTGGTCCTATTCGCGATATTCTTCACGTCGATCGCGTTCGCCAGATCCGTGATAGTGCGCATATTGTACCTAGCCCTGACCGCATGCGTTAAAGACGAGATGGCGGTAACCTCACACTATCTGCTGTTCGTAATTCTGCCGCTCAGTTCGGAATTTTTGCACGCGCAAAAGGTTTTCACGATTTACATATACGCCAATGTGATGTGCTCCTTGACTACTTACCTGGTGAGTGAAATGTTGTTTGATACGGCTAAGAGCATAGAAATTAGAATGTATTTGTAATAAATTGGACACGAAAATATTTTCGAAATTGAAAACACATCTAGTAACTCATGCCAGTATAAGAGGCACGTGATTGCACTCGTTCAATAACATGAACTCTGCCTGAATGACCTGGATGCTGAATGTTCAATATAACCAATTTTCAATCCACTTTGAATGAAACTGATAGGGTTCGATTCAAAAGGAAATGGAAAAATAATTTCGAATAGTCTGCGCTACACGATCAAGTTATTATAACTTCATGTAAGCCAGCATGAGTGCTTATCCGATGCGAATAATTAGCTATTCAAAACGAAATGGACAGGATATCGACTGCAGAACTGAAATTCGTTTCAATGCTGGCGCGATATGAATATTGAGTTTGAAAAGCACAACGAATAAATCACAGTTGTTAAGGATTTTTTTATCTTTTGCAGGCTATGTTGACACTGACGATATCGAAGCTACTGCATAATGAATTCCGCTCGGTTAAAATTGTGTACATGGTCGGAATATTGTGTATCATATGCTGTAATCTCTCTTATCCCATCGCAATGGTGAGTAGTCTTTTAAGTTTAAAAATTAATCATCAATCAAAAAAAAAAAGATTCAGAAGCCTTAGAATTTTTAACTTTGTGATGATTTTTTATTAATATTAAATATTCAATTAAAATGATTATTGTTGTTAGCAACACTATCATTTTTCATGCTATTGTTGTTAGTTGAGCTAATTATATTGTAAAACATTAGGGTATGTGTTTAACCATCTCATCTCCGTAAATAAAAGTCTTAACTTATTTCAAACACTAAAATTATTGACATAATTATGTGAAATTATCATCAATGCATATTCAATACTCGTTCCAGGATATATAACTTTTGTAACTTGCAACTATAGCTTTTTCTCCATTTAAGCGACGAAATGTCTCGAGTTGCATTGTATGCTCAACTAATTTTAGGGCGCCAATTATTGCCAGTGCTTAACTTATGGATAAACTTTTTTTCTCTTTGATAAAAATCACAGTATAAACAATTAACATTAATTCGTTCAAAACCTGCAATACATATTTTATTTCGTTTTGACGTCAAAATTATTAATAAACACACCTTTCTAACGCAGTAAGAAATTGCTTTTTTACGACTAACGGGAGTGCAGTGATCGGTAATGTGTCAATAAATATTCATCACGGCACAGCACTAAGCCGGTGGTTTTGATAATCACTTTAAATGAAATATAGAATGCCGGTACGTTGCTAGAATTGGAAATTATATCCATAAATTTTAAAAGTACATGAAGCGAAACGGCGCTCTTACAAAATTTATAACGGCGACTCAGTTGATTTGACCGTATGATTTGCATCACAGTGCGACGTTATGACTTCAATGCGATATTCGTCCTGGAAGACTTCAGTGATGTGAGGTCTACAGCGGGCATAATTTACTAAACAAATGCATAAAATTGCATTTTATAATATATTTATATTTTAATTGCGTTATTTAACTCTTGCTGTTAAAATATTAGATATCAAGATGCATGTAAAGTTCATTGTTTATTAATAATATTACCATGCAGATATGATTATAATATCTGTGTATTATTTCTCAGAGGTTTTTGTCGGAAAGCAAAAACTTCCTTTCGAAAAATTCGTCAAATTTAACGATTGAAACATAATTATAACGCATGAATAAAAAATACTGAATAATATAAATTTTTATACTTAATCGAAAATTCAATGCAAAAATAATATTATAAATCCAACGATAGGTAATGGTTGCTGGAAATATACAAAATAGGAAATAACTTTATTAATAATAAATACCTGCCCGACCTTTCAAGTCATAATTCAGTTATTCACTTCGTATTCATATTAAATGTGGAATGCGAGTAACATTTCCGTGAAACGGTTACATCGTACCTTAAAAAAGAACGAGTGTAGGTGTACATTTCTGCCGAAACCGTTTCCTCTAAACAAGTCAACTGAGCTAAATAATTCAGAGGCTTTGCAAAAATTCATTGCGCCAGAGGAGAGCTAAGATCGAATGTTTTACATTCGCAGGTAAACGGAGCGCCTCTATAACATTTATAAACTACGATATTATGCACGTTTGATTTACAATTGTAATATGCTCAAATTAATGAGATGGTAGATGAAAATTGTGCTTTTAAAATTAGATGTAGGCGAAGCAACCAAAATTGTTATTTACTCATGAAAACCGAATTTTTTGCACAATCCCAACACAAACTTGCGCGATGGCCTTTTAGACCCCACTCTAATCCTTACTATGGCTACTAGCGGTGCTCTCTCGTTGAGCACCCATACTCCAGTGACGCGACTACCGGTGCGACTCCCTTTCGTTCTTGCACCAACTTCCCGTATGCTTCCTAAGGTGCGACGGCCCATACGTTACTGCATCTGCACCAATCCTCCGCGTACGCTTTTACACCACTTGTCGCTTCACTTCACTGTTGACCACACTGTTCAGTCTCTTTTCACTTTACTATTGCTTTTTTCGTCCTCTTCTTTCTTCTTCGAATTTCTCCACTGAACTGCTCGTCTAGCGCGATCCGAGTGTCTTTTTATACTCTGAATTTGGATCGTCTCTTTATAGCATGTTCTGGAATACGAACCTTCTTTAACTCTACACTAATAATTTAAAATAAAACCAAATACGTCATTTGAAACTGTCCTCGCAGGTCGTTGACATCGAAGACGTCACCAACCACCTGATCGTTACAATATCAGATTACAAAAGAAATGAAATTATGTACTTAACTCTGCGGACAACCAAAAGCATCTTGTTACATGTCCTAAACGAATACTCAAAACTTGTCTTCAAAAGTATTCTTGAGCGAAGAGCTGCTCTGTTGCATTGATAGCCCTTAGCCAACACGGTACTTGACTTGAGTAAATGTTAACGTCTACCAAGATAGACCTCCCGTCTCGTATCGTGACCTTTCCTCACGCCATTGCTTTGTTGCAAGATTAAAAACATAAAGATGTTTTATCCAGAGAGACGTTTTAAAGTAATCATTACTTTATACTATCAAAAGTTAAAATGTTTTTTTTATTAATTGGCAAACGCATACTCAGTTTAATTTTACAGTACTTCTTAAATTGACACGTGTAAGAAATTATATCACTCACGTCTGAAAGTGATACGAAAACTGTACAAATTCCTTTTAACAATGGTTCTAAATAAAAAAGTAGTATATATAATCGGAATCTCGGAAACGGCTCCAGCGATTTTTATGAAATTTAGTATATGCGTAGATTCGGGGGCGAAAAATCGATCAGGTTTCATTTTTAGGAAACGCCGTTTTATCCCTGTTTTATGTTTTATGAAAAATATCATTCAAATAAATTTCGACGAAAAAAAAAAATGTAATAATAGCTCGGTTGGTAATCGGGCGACCCTGAAACAGAAGGCCGCGGTTCGTGTCACGATCACTTATTACTATATTTATTTTATATTATTCTATTACTACACACACACACATACTTATTTTTTTACTTTTTTTTAAATACCGAGCAAAGCTCGGTCCTCCAGATACTATTTATTTAACGGAAGATATCTTCAGAAGAACGTAGTTATGAAAAAAATATTTTACTTAGTTATACAGCGTGTCGTTTACAACCGCGACAATAAATGAACACACATAAAGAGGATAACTTTTTAAAATTTTATTAAACATTTACGGTACATTCTGTAAACATCAATATTTACAGAGTTATTAAGTTTTACAAAACAAACATTTTTAGAACACCATTACGTATGAAACTGTACGTAAAGTTCATTTGTAAAGGTCACAGAGCATATGAATGGGTTGAATGAATTTAAAAGAGTAAAAACGTAGTAAACTCTTTCTCTTTTACCACGGTATTTCAAATATTGTTACTACTGTTGTTATTCGTCGAACAAACACCGGAAAAATAAAAAATCAAAGGGGCCTTGTCGGCGTTCTCAACAACTCTTAATCAAATTAAAATGCTTACTACGAGGAACAATTAACTGCCGGGGCTTTGTTGCCAGTAACAAGATTTTTTTTCTTTATTTTCGTTTTCATAACGTTTGGTAAGTAACTTTTAGATTGATTAATTTAATCATTACAACATACTTTTCCCTGAGACTGAAGTGAGGTTGTGGGTTTAAATAATTTTTTTTTCGCATTTCCATCACGCAAAATCGCAATTTTTTCCTTGGGTTCAAGCGTGTCGCAAATAGCTCTTGTTTTCACGTTTGTGAGGAAACAAGCTTGTTAAAAGTGACTAGACTTAGTGCTCTCTTTATACTCTGTGGGGCTTGAAACACCTCAGAGTTCGTTATTAAAACGATCGATTTGTATAGCCCGTAGCGATAGACTTGGCAATTTTGCTCCATGCCCGTGCAACGAGTAAACAAACAATTTCAATGTCGCCGAAAGAGGAAATTGGATATATGCTCGTACACGTATCAATTTGAGCTGCAATTCGTGTCGACGTGATGAATAATTATTTTAAATTAAACTTGTAATTACATTGTCACAATTTCGGACTAGCTAGAATTTTGCAAAGCCGTCCATTAAAAATATTTTTAATTTTTCATTTTCATTTTCATATGACACACAGAGTTATGCTCGAACATACATAAAAAATATATAAGCATCCGAATTATATAACCTCCTCCTTTTAAAGTAAACGGTTGATGAAATTAGAAATTATTGTAACTGGTTAAATTCAGATTATTTCTCTTCCCACAGTATAACGTAAAACTTTTGAAAAACATGCTCGGTCCCTTGGAATTCGTTATAAAGAGTTTTCACTGTTTTTAATGTTTTTCATTGCATCAACATATAAGATACTCACAGTAGTATCATCCTCACACATCCACAGCAGTATCATAATCACCTCCTATGATCAGTGATACAACTCGAGTTATACCCTTTTTTTGATTTTAACATATAAGTATTTTGTAAAAAAATGACAAGCTTTGGGTCTGACTCCCGTCTCTATATCTGTTATAGATCCCGAGATAATTTCGTGCAAAGTGATATAACTACTGGGATTTTAAATAAAAAAATCGTGAATTTTGATTTTAGTCCAGCATTTAATACAGCAAGAGTAAACTATCGGTCGACACACTTATTTTCGTACTTTGTGGTGTAAGTAAAACAACAACAATTTTCACATTTGATTTTGTAATGATTTTTCGTGAATAACAGTTTTATTCGAGTTACATCGATTTGAACCGTAATTTATTTTTGTATTGACAGAGTACAACTCGTCATGTACCTACCGATCTGAACGTTAATATCGCCTACGTTTGTGCTAAATGCTACATCTCAACATACACCATTCCACACTATATCCATGCTTATAAGAAAACTAATATAAATTGAGTTGTAACTGAAAAGCAAACATTTTCTAAAAAGTATTTACTAAGAACTTTAGTTGCTAAAACATACAAGTTAAAACAAGGTGAAGTCTGCGGTTGTGTGTGGGGGTGAAGTGACTGACTAAGCCCACTTTATTAAAAGGTTGCAACGAATCTGGAACCCTACAGGAGGTGCAAATGTCCATGGGTGGCGGTTATCATTTAAGAAAAGGTGAACCGCTCACCTGCCACCTTCTCACATAGAAAAATATGCGTTTGCCTTGGAATATACAACAACATTGGGAAAAGCGAAAAAACCCGTGACCACTGCGTTTAAGGAACCTGCTGGAATTGTTCAGAACGTGCTGGAGTCGTGGTAGTTATGACAGGAGGTCCGAATACGTTGCAAAATGTATCAAAGTTTTTTTAAGAATTTTTGAGGAAATTATGAGAAATGAATAATTTAGGAGAAGTACAATCATTTTATTATTTGTTTAATAGTTATATTAATTTACACAAGCAATATAATTTTTCAAGTCAGATATAATTTGACTTGTACATGTAACACATGTTTCAAATCACGAGGATCTTAGCTAACTCATACAACTCCAAGAAATTATCAGAACAGGGGGATATACCCCATAAAAAGAAATCTAGACGTTTCATTAATTTATAATTTGGTAAAAAGAATGATACGAAAAAATTCTAATAAGTTATTTTTGTTTATATACTAAACGTATATCATTTTTCACACAGGCTTATACTAAAGTGCAACATGGTTTAACTGTACTTAAATTATGAAACATATATTCTTAGCAAATATATTACTTAACAGAAGGTACAATTGATTTTTTAAGATTTTGTAACAAAAATGTAATGCAGGATTAAAGAAAATGTTCTAATCTATATGAGTACGTACGACTTCAGTAGAATTTTTTAAATCTTGTTTTTGTTCTACTGTAAAATGTTGATTTTCAACTTGTATCACTCATCACAGGAGGTATTCATTCCCACAAATAAATAAATATTTTTGAAGCGATAGACTAACTTCATTCTTATTTACATAGTAATAAGTACCTGGAGGACCGAGCTTTTCTCGGTTTGTGTTTTTTTTGGTAAATTATGTATTTATGAAATTACATTTAGATACAAATTACTGAGTAATGAAATATGATACGAATATCGATCTTACCACGTAATAATAAGAATGCACAAAATAAAGAAATTAAAAAAAGGAAAAAAAAAAGAATAAGATAAGAATGCAATAAAATTTTTAACTCGGTATTGCAATACATACTCCCATCTCTCTCTCTTTTAATCCTTGAGTCAGTTTATTTTAAAAGGTTTTCATTTAAAACATATTTATTTTCTTTTTCAAAGATAGAGTTTTATACTATTCGACTTTTGATATTATATAGCCTAGAAACTGCAGAAATTGTTTTGCCGTCTAAGGCATTTCTTACAAAAATTAAAAAAAAAAAAATAAGAATTTACTTACTGAAAAATTAATTATGTTTGCTTTTAACAAAATGAAAACTTTATCGCACTCGAAATCTGGCGATAAAATTACAAAAAGTGCTTTCAAAGGTCAAAGTGCATCTTGTGAAATAAAAAAAAACTTGACCCAGTTTTTACGTTCACTATAACGTTACAACGATTTCAAATTCAGAACCGACGAATGCTCAAACGGGCGTTTTAAATAATTTTATTTATGTTATTAGTATTTCTCTGTTTTCGGTCATATATAAAAATAGGTCCATATTTCGTAGTGTTAGACGAAAACCGCGTCATAGTTTAAGAATATTTTCGAATGAGGCTGGGCACCCGGCACGGTTTCAATTATTTTGAAAGAACAGATCATGTCGATGGTGCCTATAATCCTCTGCTGATTCCAACAGCATCGACATTTTTTCGATGTTTTCCCTCAATTCTTAGAGCAAATAAGGAGTTTATGTCTAGTATGACATCAAATAATTCTTTCAACACATCCTTTTCCCTCGACAGCGATAATGAATTTAAAATAAACTTGCTTTTTATATTTAATTTGGAGGGAGGGTAGACATGACCGAATTGAGTATATTTAGGTAGGAAAAGTTGTGCCGTTCAAGTTCCAATAAATTTAGTTATTTATTAATTATTTATTTATAATAAATAATAAATAAATAAATATTTTCAAACAAATTTTGCATGGGTACTAGAAAACAAATAAACATACTTAATGTTTTTGTTTAATTGAAAAGTTGCCAAACAAGCAGACGGTTCACATGATGTTAAGTGAATACCGCCACCCATGGAAATCTGCTACACCCGAGGGTTACAAATGCGTTGACAACCTTTTGAAAATTGAGCTCCGGCTACCTCACTCACCAGACGAAACGCGAAAGTATTTGTCATACTTCCACTTTACGCTGGTCTTCTGTGAGGTCATGGTACTTACGCGGATGGGCCTGCCCATTCATGCAACAGCCGAGGCTACTGCGTGGCCCTACCACCGTAAAGATACTCTTCTTTTGTAAATAAATACATATCCTTACTTCCTAGTAATATTATAAATGCGAAAATTTGTATGTATGGATGGATGTTTGTTAATCTTTCACACAAATACTACCGAATGGATTTTAATGAAACTTTACAATAATATAGTTTATACATCAGAATAAGACATACGCTATAATTTAGATATATATCTACATATTTCTGTCTGAATGTTACGCCCTTAAATAAAATGTTGTCCGTATATTTGTCGCATATTTTCAATTAAGTGTTTATTAACAAGGTTTTTCTTTTGTGTTGTAAGCTGTCTAAAAACAAAATAATGGGAATCATACAAGGGATTAATTTGACCGTGCTATACTTGGGAGGTTTTAAAGTCGCCATAGTTATGTGGTTATATGGAGTGGAAAAATTCTCCACAGATGTTCAATTTACGCTCGGCTTTAAGCCTGCACAATTTTGGACCGTTTCCTGGACAATGTTTCCCATAATATCATTTGTAAGTAAATCAAAATAATAGTTTCGGAATATCTCGTAAATCAGAAACTTTCAAGTTAAAGATACAACTTCAACAATTTGTTACCTAACAGGTTTTCATTGTGCAAAAAATGTACGTGCTCATTAATATGACAGAGAACGTTCAAATGGTATTGGCGAGCACTTGGATTATATTCTCCTTCTGTATCGTCACAATAATACAAATGAAAACTGTGGCGAAATATTTAGTGCATAATGTGAGTAAAACGTTTTTGTCAATAATTTTACGGTTAGCTATCTAAATCTACGTAGCCAGATGTTTCTGGCTATGTAGTGGCCATATTTTTCGGCCTTTTTTCGGCGATTTCGGCCTGTGGATGATGGATTCGATTTCTGACCGAGACTTTTTATATGTAGTGTAAATTAAACGTAAAAACATAATCAGATGTCAGAGGTTCAACAAAAGTTTTTAATCATCTCAAGCTCAAGGGTAAACTCCTAAAATAGTGAGATTATTCATTTTACGACAGGATAAAATGAAAGATTGAAATAAAAATGCTCTTGATAAGTTCATTTTCGAATAAGCTGTAGCGGATTGCAATTTAAAAAACGACACGCATTTCGTGCGCGCTAAAAGAAATGACTATGCCCTACACTCTGGAGAAATAAAACGAAGTGAAGAAACGGTGACGCGTAGCGTTCGCGGCAGGCGACCGTAACGAAATTCTATTTACACCTTCATGAACAAACTGATACGGGCTGTTATTTTTAAGTAGATTTTATTGATTATTATAGATACCAGATGACTTTATATATAATGGAATGGAATGATACACATAATGCAGTACATTGTACTAAACTCCTCGATTGATATAAATGGTATCATTTACTAAACGAAAAAGGGTTTGATCGTAATTGTAACTTACGAATCAAATTATTCAAGATTTTAATCTGAATTACTACCTTAATTTGAATTTACATATTATAATATTATTACTTTAATTTCAATGTACTACCTTATTGGCCGAACACAATTCTTAACGGAATTTGCTGGTGACAACGCGTATAAAATTTCATAACAACCTCATAGTAATAATTCAAGTCAAAGTACAGTATACAGTCAAAGTAGGTACTACCCATTATGTTTTAAAATGTTCATAAGATTGTTGTATTTTTTCAGAACTTGGTGGGGGTACTTAGACCAAGTTCCAAGTATGGGCCCCCTGACCTGGAGGAAAGGCTGAGAAGGCGGAATTTCAATGTTGCATTGCTACATAGGCAGTGCTTTCACCAATGCGCAGTTCTTGACGTAACATTTTTCGCTTAATTTTCCGTGGTTTTACAGACAGTTTTGTAATCTTGATGGTGTCGCAGAGTTTTTTTCAATTTATTCATTTAAATGTATTGGAATCCCATGTATGTAATTGTTCACATTGGCAACGATAAGGTTTATTTGGCAAATGACAATATCTACACAACATCTAAACATCACATGGACTTCTCGGTGTAAAGCCATACCACCTTGCTAGCAAAATGGTTTTCTAAAGTAAATACGCTTTATTAACAGCATTTCATTTTATAAGCCGTACAGCGGAAATCTTGGGCACCCTACTTTAATAAAAGTACCGTTGCAAGGCAAAATGTAAATAACAGACTATAATAACGGCGGTAATTAAGGTTTTAATAACCAAGTAACTTGATTAAATCGGATCATCTTCTGCGAACGCGTTCAGATGTTTTTTTTTAAGTAATATCGATTGTATTAAAACTCATTAAAGGTTTGCATACAATTTTAACAATGAATATTAATATTAACGTATGAATTGAATTGCTTTCAATATCACACGGCCAGTCATTAATTGTGAAGCCTATACTGGAAACAGCATAAAACACATGATCAACTCTCGCACCAAACTATCTTATTAAACTATTAATAAATAATGATCTGTAAAGGCCCCCAAGGCATACAGTGGCTCATCCAACCAAAAAAAAACTAAAATAGTAGGAAATATTGAAATCAGCATTTCACAGGAAGTACTACGGTAATTGTACGTTACACGATTGAATATTTTTTTTATTTGGTTCGAGTTTTCTTTTTTGGATTGTTTTCATTTACAAGTAGTAATTACATAAATGACTTTTCCGTGTCAAAGTGGGGAAACAAATATCAGTGGGATTATGCCTTCCTACATTTTCGGCTGTTCATTTCTATTTTGACTGTTTGATAAAAAATTCCGAAGTTCTTTATAAAAGGCACCATCCAGCAGTAACATTGTGTTCCGTATGAATGATGTTCGAACGTGATGAGTTCGCAGCTATATTTTTATTTTTCAGTTTGTGTTACTGCATAGGGCTTTCATTAGAGTCAGGACAGCATGCGGAGTGATTATAAAGGCTACACGGATAACGTTATTATTTTTTTGTATATTGATTACCGCCTACGACACCTCATGGCTTGCAGATGTATTGAAAACCTTTAAAAAGTGGTCCCTGGTTACTTTTTTATTTTTATTCTATTTTTATTTTTTTTATTATTATATTTTTGGGCTTGATGAGCCACTGTTGGCTTAGGGGCCTTTCAGTTTCGCCAGACTTGATGGCCAGGCGCTCGGGGCGCCTAGCCTGAACCTCGGCGTTGCCCCCCGGTTACCTCACTCTCTAGACGAAACATAAAAATATTTACGCTGGTTTTCTGTGTGGCTGTGCTACTTTTATCTACCATAAAAGTAGTAAAAATATTTCTTTTAATTCATATAAGACCGTTAAAAAATATACAACATCGGTACATTAGGCTGCGAGATATTATAATAATATACTATATTATAGTATATGTTTTTGTTGTAAAAAGGAATAAGGAATAACTTACTAAAACCACTGTTGATTTCATATATATTTTGATTATAAGATCTTTTGTATTCAGAAACTGTGTTGAATTTTATTCAATATTGCTAGATGAAAATCGCATATTGAAAAATAACATATGGAGTGCACGCTATTACTTTGTTAGATGCTCATTTCTCGCTTGCGTAAATCCACGAGGTATCACCCGAAGCGCATTTGCGTAATGCACTTAGCATATGTTTCGTCAGTCTCCGAGGAAAATGAATCTCAGCGAAATGTGTAACGCCTTTGTCGATCAAACTTGATTTAAGATCTATTTACCGAGCAATCTCCTAAGATATTAAGTTTTAGTACGATAGTTCAGAAAGTATACTAAGCCATACCACATCTTATATGCGATACCTCATTTAGCCAACACGTATACATGCTTATGTAAACTTGCATTAAAGTTTACCGTAGTAATCTAAAACACTTATTTTTTTAACGCATTATCAAAAATAAAAGGAATACAGAATTGAAAACTCTAACATAAACTGCGTCATACGGACAAAGCAAGACGTACAAGGGCTCTGGAAAAACCAACCTACCGGATCGAGCACTTTAAATCAATTCCATTGAAGGCCCGTTTCGAAACGGGACATTCAAGTTACATGCATCCGTATATTCAGATGGCATGTCGACCGCGAGCGACGTGCACTCTTGTTAAATCTCGAGTGAAGTACAAACAGTTGTCGGTGAGCTCTTTTCGGAATCGAACCATGCTTTTGCGCACTGACAGAGTTTTATTCTCGATTTTTATACTTTTATAATGTTAGGGATTTACGTTCTAACGTTAATATGCTGCATATTATGAGAATGAATTGGAATATCCCCCTGAAACAGACGCATAAGTATTCTTTTATCACTGCATGTTACTGTTATTATAATAAAATTAATTAAATTAAACTTAACACACACACTACCATTGCTTACCCGGGGATGAGAATTTAAAAATTAATATCTTATTTCGGGTATTCAACGGAATAACATCACCTACAACTTGCTCTGTACTTTTTAACTAATACTAAATTGATAAAGCGTTTAACTTCAGTTCATCTAGCTATTATCGCATTAGAACATATTCAAACTTTAGTGTGTGCAAAACAAGTGTTACAATAAAGTGATTAGAAGTGAAATATTCAAAGTTTTTGTTGTCAATTAGTGTCTTTAACAAAGTTGATTTTCATTGCTACCCGCCCTACAGATAAACTTGCAAGCTCGCTCAAATACAGCTAATTATTTTCAAAGAAACCGTCGAAGTTCTTGTGGCCCACTGCACATTGCTCTCGGCTTCGAATCGTATGGTCGGAGGTTCAAGACTACGCCGAGAACATTCTACAAAACTTCATTTTTTATTGTTTTCCTGAACTAATTAACTATTACAACAACGACATTAAGAAAGAAATATATGAAGTACGAAATAATTGGAACAAATAAAAAATAATCGTTTACAATATGACTAAATGCTCAGCGTGTAAAACCAATGTTTTAGTCACCCAAAAAAGGATAACCTGTACTAACAATTCTTGTCACGGTGTTTATCACAATGAATGTATCGATTACTCGGATGCCTCCACTTCGCGTTTATCGTGGGTTTGCCCGATTTGTGCTACGGCTCGTAGAAAAGGGGACAACAACAACACCCCCGCTGCGCCTTACGACAGGAAACAAAAAGATACGACCTCACCTAAAACTACTCCACCACCAGAGGTTTCTCATGAACACATTATTCTTGAAGAAATAAGAAGCTTGAGAGCCGATATGAATAAAAAGTTTGACGTGCAACAGTCATCTTTAAATAATTTCAATGATGTGTTAACTAGCGTTAGAAGTGATATTAAGGATTTGAGCTCTAAGCTTTCTCATTTGCGAACAGAGCTTGATGATGTCACGAAATGTGTAAAGTTTTTATCTGAATATCATGACGAACAAGTTGAACTAAACGCTGAAAGTAAAAGCAATATCAACAAACTTCTAGCTGAGAACGAAAAACTTCAGTACGAATTAGCCAATGTCAACGAGAAAATAGCAATATTAGAACAACAGAGTAGGGATTCAAATTTAGAGATCCAATGTGTTCCTGAACTAAAAACGATTTATTAACGGTCATCCGTCAAATTGCAAACACTGTCTCATATGAGATACCAGAAGGCTCAATTATAAATTTCCATCGGGTGGCAAAATTAAATAACGAATCTAAGAGACCACGCAATATTATCATGCTGTCAAGCCCTCGCATCCGTGATGGTTTCCTAGCTGCTGTGAAGTCATTTAATAAAAAAAATGTGAACGACAAGCTTAACACATCTCACTTGGGGATTACGGGAAATAAACAGCCAATATTTGTACAAGAACATTTATCTGCCACTAATAAAAGCCTTCATGCTGCTACGAGATTAGTCGCTAAAGAAAAAAATTATCAATTTGTTTGGGTACGCAACGGACATATTTTCATTCGTAAAGACGTGAACTCCCCGTCTAAATTAGTAAGAAATATTGATGGCTTAAAAGTATTGTAACATAATTGTTACAAGTTAGATATTTACATATTAATGTTATAAAATTCAACCTTAAGATTTATTATCAAAATGTAAGAGGCCTGAGAACAAAAACTGATGATATTTATATTTCTGTGTTGTCTAACGACTATGATGTTATTGTTTTAACTGAAACTTGGTTAAATAGTACCGTTTTTGATCACGAACTGCTGGATAAACGTTATAATATTTATAGGCGCGATAGGTGTACGACTTCAACATCCTCAACAAAAAAAGATGGTGGAGGCGTAATGATTGCGATTCTGAAAAAGTTTGAGGTGTTGAGAAGACCGACCTGGGAATCTACATGTAAAGATCTCTGGGTAACTTTAAATATTAAGAACGAATACATTAACATCTGTGCCACTTATTTTCCTCCACCTCTTAACGAACATTATGTCAAAACTTTTCTTAATGCCTTGAACTCAGTTTTTCTTAAAGTAGCTAATTCAAATAACTGAGTCATCATTTTAGGTGATTTTAACTTTAGTAATATTGCGTGGAATATAAATGAATTTAACAAATTACTACCTTCAATGACAAACAGTTATCTTGATAATCTTTTTATTGACTCAATAGTATACAATGACCTAAGCCAATACAATCATATTTATAATAGTAACAAGCGAATTCTTGACTTAATTTTATCTAATACTACATCGAGTTTATTTGTCACAGAAGCATCTGTGCCATTGGTTTCACGAGATGATCACCATCCTGCACTTGAAATTAAATTAAATAACCACTCACAGATCATCTTAAAAACAAATTTCGAGCCTACACTAAATTTTTTCCGTACTGATTATGCAGCCTTAAATAAAGATTTAGCTGCAGTTGATTGGATTTCCTGTTGGAAACGCTCGAAAAATGTTAATGACATGGTGGAGAGCTTTCATGATACTATACTTGCGATTGTCCACACTCCGATATGCAAACCGCATAATCAAAAGTATCCACCTTGGTTTACCTCATCTTTAATAAAGCTGATTAAAGAAAAAGCCAAATTTCATGCTCGCTTAAAAAGATATGGTAATGCATTAGACAAGCTAACTTACAATCTCCTACGTTCTCGTTGCGACAGTCTTATTAAAGAGTGTTATAATAAGTTCAAGCAGCGTGCAGAATACCACTTACAAAAACAACCTAAGTACTTCTGGAAAGTTTTCAATACTAAAAAGTCTAACAACACCTCAATCCCAAATGAAATGCGACTTAACGGCAAAACTGCAAAAGGGGGTAAAGAAATATGCAACTTATTTGCTGAGTATTTCCAGTGGGTGTACAGGAATAATAATCAGTATCCAGGAAATATAAAAAGGAAACTATTGAAACCAATCGCGCATGATATAACATTAAACAAATGTTGGGTATCTGAAGGCGAGATATGAAAACATTTGAAAGCCCTAGATATAAATAAAGGTTCTCCCACAGAATTCCTCCCACCAATTTTCTTTAAAAACTGTGCAGAGAGTTTATTTAAGCCTTTATGTATAATTTTTAATGAATCTCTATCATCTGGTATCTTTCCTCAATCATGGAAAGTTGCCTATATTACACCAATACACAAGTCTGGTGAATTAGATAACGTGACACAGTATAGACCAATTTCTCTTTTACCCACCTGTGCTAAAGTATTAGAGTCAGTTGTATATAAATCGATATTTCCTCATATTAAATCTCAAATTGATTCTAATCAACATGGTATTTTACCACATAGATCTACTGCATCTAATCTTGTTAGTTATTTATCAGACATATTAGAAGCTGTTGACCATGGTGAAGAAGTCCATGCAGTATATACTGACTTCCATAAAGCCTTTGATGAAGTAAATCACGATTTACTGTTGGTCAAGTTGAATTCATTGGGAATTCATGGTTCATTGCTAAGGTGGTGTGAGTCTTACTTGCGCAATCGTTCCCAGCTTGTAGCTATTAAAGGTTTCAAATCATTTCCTAGTGCCGTGCCATCTGGGGTTCCACAAGGTTCGCATTTGGGACCATTATTTTTTTTGATCTTCATAAATGACATCGGTTCTGTATTAAAGTCAAATTTTAAGATGTATGCAGATGATCTAAAAATTTATAGAATTATTAGGAATGATGATGACAGAGTTTGTTTACAGCACGATCTTAACCAACTAAGTGAGTGGTGTACCGAAAATCTGATGACATTAAACGTTAGCAAATGTTACCACATTAAGTTCACTAGGAAAAAAAACCCACTTCCTATTACATATTCCATAAATGGGTTACCTTTATCGGAAGTAAACAATATTCGTGATTTGGGAGTTGTTATGGACAGTTCTCTTACGTTTAGATATCACTTTGATTTTATTATTAAAAAAGCATCACAATTATCAGGATTTATAGTTCGACAGATGAATATTTTTAATAATGCTAATTTAACGATTCACATTTATAATTCGCTTGTACGCAGCATTTTAGAATATTGTTGCGTTGTCTGGAATCCTGGTTATGCGGTTCACTCCGATAGAATAGAGCGTGTTCAAAAGCACTTTCTTTATTATATCAAATACAGAGAAGTTAAATGCCGTCACCTAACTTCTTATCAGGAGCGACTTAGACATTATGGGATAACATCTCTGAAAATTCGCAGAAAGATCATTGACATAATGTTCCTGTACAAATTGCTACACTCTTACATAGATTCATCAGATATTTTAGAAAAACTTGAGTTCTCCATACCTCGTTCTAGCAGTCGTCTTAAAAATCGAAATACATTTAGGTTACCTTTGTGTAAAACCGTTCACGGACAGCATCTCCCAATGTATCGTATGTGCACATCAAGTAATGCAATTCGATTTAGCGTGGATATTTTTGCAGATTCTCTGGCCTCAACAAGAAAAAAATTAGATGATTTATTTTTATCATTGTAAGTTAAAGTATTGGCATAAATGTATTTTTTTTTTTAACCCTAGTTATATTTTAAGCTATTTTGTTTTATTTAGTTTTCTATTCAGTTTTTGTTTAGTTTTTCCCATTTAAATTTAATCTTTTTTTATATTAGTTACTAAGATAAGTTGTATTACCTATTGTCCCTTTTCTGTTCGATTTATATGCATGTTGTGTCTACATCTAGAGGAATGCACTTTTGTGTTTGGAATAATTGAAAGCTTATAATAACTTATGTAAAGGTTGTATTCAGTTTTGTAGACCTAATAAAAAAAAAATACTAAATCTACTTTCCACGCTTTTTTTTTTGCTATCCGTGACACACCTCAAGTAATTTTACGAGTTCTTTGATTGAATCTTCTCAACTCACGATTGTTTTCAGGAAAAACACGATTGCAATCATATGCCGTTGATGTTCAAAGAAAAAAACAGACTAGCTTCCCAATCCAAGATATCCCTCACGAATATTTACGAAGCAGGCCCATCACGGAAGAAATCTTCAGTGATGCTGGACAGTTCGCAAATGCATTTCAACTGAATTAATTATCTTAGCTTTTCACTAATTGCAGTTTTAGATACGTTATGTTCATTATATTATCGGGAAAGTAAGATCAATACTAAATACTTTTTACGGGACCGAAAAAATCTCTGTTTCCTTATTTTATTCTATATATTCATAATAAACGCTTACGAGAAATGTTAGTGGTTTATTTTATTATTCATAATACCTTAATTGGGTAGGACTTACTTCTGAGTGTACTCCAGGAAATCATTTTCTAAAGGAGCCGTGAACGCCTGCCACGTCAAAACGATTTCTCAATTTCTCACTTAGAGGTAAAGTATAATAAAGGAGAACAGCGCTTAAGGCTTTAAAGTTAATTTCAAAATTGGTTTACATTTTAGTTTTTATAATAACGTTTTTTTATATATTCTTTATTAAACGCCCAAATAATTGATTAAAGAAAACGTTACTCCTCCATTTGGCGATTATGACACTACTCAAAATATTAATTAAGAAAAGCACACCATTTATTCACGTACTTTATTAATATGCAACAATCTATTTTCGACTTTGTAGTCTACGAGTCTTACGGTAATTTTTAAACAAGTGGGATTCAAAAAAATATAGGCTTGTTTTAATTCCTATTTGTTTAAACAGTACAAATTGTTTAAGAAGTAAAATAACATATAAGTTTCTGCTTTGAAAATAACAACCTTATTGTTTTATAAGACGACTGTGCTAAAACTCTGCCCGCCAGTTTTCGAATGTTTCAGTTTTTGAAAGTTTAACTGCATAGTCGCGGTTCATACGTAATTGCATAAAGCAATTAATTTTAACTTTAGCATAGCCGTTTTTTTAGCATTCTCGGTTCTTACTTTGGGATAATTAAAATTATCACATTTGAATTTTATTTAATAAAGGTTTAAATGTGTATAACAAACTTGTTTCGCCATTTATCAAACGTATTATAAGCAGTTTTGTTACGGATTTGATCATCTACTGAAAAATCGAATCGCTTTGTCAACATAAAAAACTAAGTAGATATTGTTCAGATTTGGTCTATTTTGCCCTATTGATTATTCACTGGAAATTTCAATTCAATAAACCTTGACCGGTACGGTACCTATATGGATAAAAATACAGTATTCTGAGAAAAATCGAAATAGCAACAATTTTATTTTTTTCACACAAACTGTTCCTACCTGTCAAACATTTTATGCGTGTGTTCCGAAAAATTATTTTCTATGTCTAGATTCATAAATTCCCTAGAAATCATTTATATGGCAAAACAACGTTTGCCGGGTCAGCTAGTAGTTAATAAATAAGAATAATAAAATAGTGCGAATAGAACAATATATTTGATATTTGCGTATTTTAAGGCATCTGACGAGCACACGGTAATTCTTTCACGCTGTCAGTTTTAGAATTCTATTACTTTATTTCATGACGAAGCTTTGTGAATGTAGGTTTAAATGTATAAACGTTGTTATAGCTACGTATACCTATATGGATTCGTATAGTAAACTGCCCTTGGGTAAGCTTAAGCTCACTATGTTTTTATTTTCATAAGTTCTACATGGTTTTCTTTTTCGTAGAAATAAAATTCTTTATAACATTTTATAATAATACGTAGGAAAATAACTGTACTCGTGTAGGCATTCAAAGGAGGCTTAAGAATTGATGCTACTCTATAGTGAAAGCTTCAATACCAAAAGAAATCCTATTGCTGTAACAAAGTCTTTGTACTGGCAAACTGTGTACTTATTCTTTTTTTGCAGTCGAAGACCGAAAAATAAGTATTGAAAAATTGATAGCATAAATTTCTATACAGTTTTTCCGCTTTGATTTTTATTGTCCTATCTAATGTCTTGATCCGTTTCATTGAACGTCCTTCTTTAACGTTAATGATGGTTCATTCTATTAAAATAAAAAAAAAAAGATACAATTAATTTGTTTTCAATGAATTAAGCAAACAATCTGTGGTGTTCTAACTCTCTATAATATATCTATTAAACGACTAGTTCTACTGTAGTGGCGGACCGCAGCAACTGACAGGCTAATTATTTAGTTGTACACAGTTAGTTACTACAACAATGGTCATCTACTGATAACCATTGCTTTATCTACATACACTTCGAAGTATAGTTCGTAACTAGTCGATACCCTGAAAATGATATAATTGATGTTGTCTTTTGAATCGATCATGCTTCCGTTTATGAAGAGAGATTGAAGAATTGCTTCAAATTAGTGTTCTGAACACCCCATGAACGAGATCGGATTATCAAAGGGCAAGATTCACGTTTAAATCATTCATGGAAGTAACTGCTTCCCGGAATCAATAAAACAGTTTGAAACTGAAAGTGAACTTGAGCGATGGAAAGCGCGGCGCTGTTGTTGTTTAGGGTCTGTGTGCGTGCGGCGGTAGGTCAGACTTCCTGGACAAGCTCAAACAGCATTGACCTACTTCCGATCCCCTGTGTCGTAGTACGATGACATGAACGTTATCGATTGCAACATCTTCCTATAACTGAGGGCAGACGTCACGTGGACCGGGGCCGACGTTCGTTGACGTTTCGCGTTTTCATTGCCACTACGCGTACGCTCAAAAGCAGCGCTTGTTTACGTCTCGTCAACGCTTAATTACGATGTCCGTGTATAGAGAATTATGTAAGTGGGATTTTTTTATTGAACTACAAAGCTGAGTCGGCGTTAGCTATTTGTTTTAAGGTGATGTTATTTAGGTCCGATATTCTGTTTCCGATCTTTTTCAATTTATTGTTTAATTGCTTGTACTTTACAGAAATAATAAAATGAATGTTCTATTTTATATATATATATTCAAGTTTTCTTTTTTTATGAGAGATAAATAAGAGTTTTCTACTACATGTTTCAAATTAACCATCGAAGTAATACGTGCGTGGAGATGAATATTGAGTTGAACATGGGGAACAGACATTTATTGACGCGTTGATCGGAATTTTTTACGTGAGGAAATTCTTATTGTTTACACCAATGTAAAACTATTTTTGCAATATATATAACGCTTCGAGTTCAAAAGTATCAGAGACGCTTAATTTCTGTTTGAATCATTTACTAAATTAAAGATAAATCATAATTTTCTGAATACAGTTAAGTTCAAAGAAAGAAAAAGTAACTTTACAGCATACTTAATAACGGAGAAGCCTGAATGTCATAGTAAGTCGGGGCTACCGTCAACGTTTTTTTTTATTCTTTTCCTACGTTTACGTCTACGTTACAGAATTCTTTAAAGCATTTTGAGAACTTGCCGTATTGGAGTGCTTGGAATTAATTTTATAAACATAAGATCTTAAGCCGCCATGAAACCATGTTCTCGACTGCAATTAGAAGATAATTACAGAATATTATTTCAATATTCTCGACTATTTCAGGTTTTGCGAATCTTACATTTAGACGTTAAATTCCTAAAACCTATGTAGAATGCATAAATGTTAAAAAGATATTGAACACGAGTTAAACCTTATATTTATCATACATCCAAGATATCATTAGTATGTTTGGTGCGTGTTCGTCAACATACTAAAATGTTACCTTGCAAATCTATTTAAAAACACGCTGTTACATGTTCAAATTGTAATGATGTAGGCAGAAACAAAAAACGGAAGCATGCAATCAAAAGTATTGACATATGTCTAAATCCCTTGATGTTACGATAAAACGTTGCTTACTTATCGATTGCTGGTTATCGACGCATTGGTTGATGTTAATGAAACTATCGCGTTGCTCTAACGGAATTATAAAATCTCGACGCAAATCAATTAATCCCAGCAAAGGGTTTCCACAAAATAGAACTGAAAATTTCTAATCCAATTGCTGAACAATTCAGTACACAAAGAGGAACTGTGAACACGAAGTCCTGTTAATGCTCCGGCCATTTGTAGTTCAACTGACCATTCAAAATACACATAGAATTTTGACCGTAACACAATATATGGCTTGGAAACAACAATATGTCGCAACCGCCAACTTTACCTGCCTGCAGTGCATCATACATATTTGCAGATGAAACTGTATGGTAACAGAGCTTTGGTTGTTTGTACAAACGAATCTCGTGCTCCGCTGAGCGTATAATATATATTGTGAGTAAACATTCTAAAGCAGCTTCAATTTATATTTCGATTTTAACGTTTAGTTGGTCTTTGAGGAGCGCGTTTTTTGTTGCAATTTTTAACTCAACTTACAAATTGAGTTTAAAGGCTAATAGTGTGGCCAATCATAAAGTATTTACAAGGACGGTATTAATGAGATAACGGGCTACTCAATTCATAATAGTACCCGCATCACTACAACAAGAGGTAATACGATAAGCGAAAGTCATTTAAAGAGTACACGCTCGCGCGGTCAAAACTAGACAGTTTTTCTGTCTACCCTCAACCAATTAACAAAAGCGTAACAATCTTTAATAAGCGTTCACAGTCGCGAGGAGTTATGACATAATAATATTTAACGTGCATCTTTAACACATTTACAAAGTTTATTTGGTTTTAAAAACAGTCTTCCACAACTCCTTTTCAAATTAATCTCCAAGAAAATAAAAATATGGTCCATCAAGTAAGTCGGCGGTACTATGTTCAACCTTAACAAGGTTGCGCTCTAAACATTGAGGTAAAATTCGATGTCGGTAAAAATTTCTGCTAATGTTCTCACTTATATTTACATATTTTAAGTTGTTTGATTTTAATAGTTGCAAATTCTGAACGTACTTTCAATTAAATACAATTTAAGTTAAATAAGGGCCGTGTAAAATATTATAATAAAAAAACGATAATGTCGTCGTACATTATGGTAATACCATGATATCAACATGGCCGCTACTTTTTGACTACGAGATACTACTTTTAATTTTTATTCAGAAATCGTCTTGTTTAAGTTTATTTAATAGCAGATATTCTATTTTTATAAATCTAAAATTTTTAACTAGTGTTATACTTTCTAGATCTTCGGTTGCTACAAAAAAAACTAATTATTGCTCGGTTTCTCGAAAAATTTTAAAATGTTAAAAGTGTGAAAAACTACTGTTTATGTTCAACGAATGGATTATTTTTCGGATTATTTTTCTGTTTAAAATGTTCCGTCATTTTAGTTTCTATTTTAAGGCTTTCTCGAGAGTTCTAACGTTTACCTTAAATATCATATTGGTCGACCATCCTGTGTTATAATTCTTGTTAGCACGAATGATTTTATTAAACTGTAAGTTTCAAGCGAGTTCTAATATTTTAAATACTTGTAACTTTCTTATTCAAAACGTTATTTATGATGTGTGTTTATCACGATGTCTCAATATTTTACGTATGATGCAATTAATAACCCATTTCCCACCTTTGCTCCGATGTTCTGTGCGCAGTTCACGAGATAACCCTCGCATATTTCATGAATGTTATCCGCTTCTAACACATTAAGTTAACGAACGTCCTCGTGCAACGTCGTTGCATATATAAGGTCGGAATGATTTCGCAAAACTAAAATTTTGAAATAGTCACATTAATCCCCATGCGTGTATGAAGATTTAAGAATGGCGGGAATGCTTTAAAAAAACATCATTATCTCACTGATAAGCCTTGAAAAAAAAAAAGTGATTGTAGCATTGTAGCATCGATGGCATGCATAGTGGTTATTCTAGTTGTGGTTAAATCCTGGAATTCAAGGGGAGAGAATATTAAGTAACCGTAGCTGGTCCTAAAACATTTTAGGTTCGACAGCTTTATGATTATTTTAAGAAAATGTAGTTCCGTGGATCAAATAAATATGCAGTTCTGCTTTAAAGATTGTTTTATATGTAACTCCCGTAAAGTAAAAATCGTTAACAACCGATGCAGTATACACGAACAACATGTTACTTCGCGCAACTGCATTTATTAAATTGGAACATTAACATAAAATTATTCGTTCCCGGCACTCCTAACAAGTAGCACGTCGACGTGCCCTAACGGAATTACGGACACAATACCGACAATCAAACAATGTGTACGCTGAATTTCCTGCAGTTTTGAATCGTAGCACGATTGCAGCTTCTTGAATGTTAAAGTACATCACTTTCTTTTATTTTTTAAAGTTGCTCTTACTTTAGGACGACGTTAACCTGTGTTCGCAGAACGTTTGACAAACATAAATTCCACGTGGAAAAACATGCAGATGTGGAACAACCATCTGTGGGTCACACAAATAGTTGCCCCGTGTGGAAATCGAAGCCGCTAACCCCGACCCCGAAACCGACGGCAACTGCGCCGTAGAGCGCCGTTATTCGGTGAAACCCGTGGATATTGCCAGTGTTGGGTATTAGTGGAACGATGTGTGTGAATATTGAGTACCTACAATGCGTCCATCGAATTATAATACTCATAGATGTAAATACTGTTCGTTACCGTTTGAAATTAGGGTGTTTTTTTTTAAATTCAATAGCCTCGCGAATCATCCTTGGAAGAAATCGGTGTTTTATGTGATGATTGGGGCGATTGAAAGTTTGCCCACTTATTTACTCTTTGATGTTTTAAATCGACTTAAAACATCAAAGAGTAAACACCGATTCCTCGCAAGGAAAATTTGCGAGAAAGTAACAAACACCCAAATTTCAATAGAGAAGAAGGTTGTGTGCAACCATCAGCTTGGGAACGTTTGGGACTTGATTTAATTTTATTAATAATATTATTAAAATTAAATCAAGTCCCAAACGAACCACTACTGCAAAACAAGATAAAATTAGCATGTTCTGCGTAGATCGACACAAAAATTAATAATTGAAAAGCTGCTGGTAGCCCGGATTAACAATGACATTCAGACGTCCAACGTCTCGGTCTGTCCCGTGGCCATGAACGCTGTAAAGGGTTCGAAGCGCCGGGAATTAAAATCAAATATTAACGCGATAAATCCGTAAAGATAGTTTCATTTAGTAATGTGTAATCGCGTAAATGCAAGAAACCTACGTTATTTAAATAACGTTATAGTTATAACAATAACGTCTTTATAAAGTTAATAATCAATATTTTGTTAAATGTTACTGACACAAGAATAACTATATAATAAATTGAAGCGCACTATATCAAATAGCATGAAATAGAGCATATAACCGAACATTAAACAATATTCAAATCGGATTGTATAACTACAAAATGGTAAAACTTACTGCATGGGAATTTACGTTAGTATTTTATGTCTGTAATTCCGAACGTATCACGTACATACGTAACTTCATGCCTCAAAGCTCTTACGGTGTTGGCAGAGTTCCAAAGTTCCGGGAGGCATATAGCATACCCCCGGGACGATAGCTACCAAGGGTTACGTAATTAGCCGTACGTTTATTTACAGTTTTTATTTTTGGCTATAAACTGTGGAAATCGTTATGATGTGTATTCAATACTTCGAATCATTACATAGCAACAATATAATTCATGAATTTGATCATTATATTTTAATATATTTTTGGGTCATGTTAAAGGCGAATGCTTGACCAAAAATATAAGTAGTAGTCTGTATCAATGAACGGCATATATAACTAAGCAACGCAATTGTATGCATATTCTGATATACAGTATCACGGGACAAATTTTAGGCATTGTTATCTTGACCATAACAGAGGCATTTGTTTCGTTGGGCAATACAGAATAACAATTAAAAAAAGGAAGTATGGTTTACAGTTCAAGGTGCATATTAGAGGTTAAAAGCATCAACTATTAAATGCCGAAGCTAAAAATATAAATTAAATTTAAAATTTGTTTTAAGAACGAAACGCTTTTCGCAGCTACGGTGTCCACATATCAGTCAGGGAATACTTTATTTATGAGACTAGAGCTGGTGTTCACTTGATGTTAAATTGCAATTGCGAAAACAACCTTTTAGAATATATTTTATACGAACCAATTGCAAAACCTCCCAGTGCAGTATTGTAATTAATATCTTACCTAGAATATTTTAATGGCTCCACGAATTACGTATTCGAAGATCTACCATCAATAGGCAGCCACATTTGGTTCATTGTGAAATCATCCTGAATAGTAAAGATCAACAAGTCTTAATTGATAACGGTCAAGCTTTTGCTTTGAGTGAAGAAATAACACCAAATTTCACCCGCATAGACCCAACGATCCAAAACATTAGGTAATAATACATACAAACGGAGCCATGAACAAGACACGTGTTTTGACTCGCAACGAGGCACAACCAAGTGAATTTACATGGGAATTTTGGTAAATACGCTTGATCTTTTCTATGAAAAACAGAGCAGCTTTCTTATATGATAAAAAATTTAAATATTTTTTAGCAAGGAAAGTATCATCCTTATAAAAAATTAAAAATTTTATATAAAAAATAAACACAACGATCCCCAAAATAGCTGTTATCCGTCTTTTAACAAAATATTTACTCAAAAATTTTAGATAATTCAAATGCGTTTTTGCATGGTGCTCCATCGATAAAGTTGGCCGAGTTTGACGAATGCAATCCGAAAACTTTATTCATATTTACGGTCGGGTGTCGTTGTATTAGTATCTATCGTTGGGCCATGAAATCCGCTCGAAAATCGCAATCAAAAACACATTCCACATCTCGGAGTGGCGGACGAACGCTAACAGTAAAGCGGTAAGTCGAAACGCCGATGCGCTTGCACAGACGGGGAAGATCCGATCGATTGAGATCGATGGGAAGCGTCTGTCTAAGGACGGCGGCCGCGCGGCGGTTAGGGAACGGGCCGAATCACGGTCGACGGGAGTTGTGGTGTCGCAGTGTCAAGATGGGGTGCTTAGCGTGTTTGTCGCTCGATAAGACCAGTGAGGATCTGAGCGCCATGGTGCTGGCGGAAAGAGGTGGCCGGGTTGCGGTCGATAGGGTGGCGAGCGCAAGCGCGAGTCTCGGTAGCGACAAAGCCCGGGTAGTGCGTTAGTCCGCGGGCCAAAGCGCGGCTGCCGGCAGCCCGCGTCCGCCCGGCGGCAAGTTTTAAACACACGCAAAACATGCCTGCGTGCCGACTTCGCGGCGTGCACACGGTAACCCTTGTAGTGGTGCTCGCCGTAGCATGGCTACCCCACGCCGACCACGCTGCGTGAGTATACCACACACGACCACTCGGACTAAATTTCGCGCCAAAAACTCGTTGCGGTAAAAACTTCAACCCCCCTCGAAACTTTAAAATCTATTCCCGGCGTAATTAATATACGAGTTAAAATGGTTATAAATATCTTAAATGGTTCCCTTATATTCTAAAAAAAGTTTCGCGCTTTAAAAAAGTTTTTTAAAGTAACTTTCGTGCGTTTTTTTTTTTCTGAAAATCAAGTCGCTTTTTCTTAATTGTACATTTCCTGATCATTTAATATTGTTCCGAGTTTTAAAAAATATTTTCCTCTATAATAATAATAATAATAAATTTGAAAATAATAATATATAATAATATCTTTTATTTAATTTAAACAAAATAAGCAGTTTATTTAAAAAAATGATTAAGAATAAAGGTATGAGAATATATCTCACTCCAAATTATTACGGAAATATTAAAGTTATTTATTTGAATTATTATTACCTAAATAGTAAAGGATTTTTTCCTCTAAAGTTATTATAAATATAAGAGAAGTCCTGGGAAGACATTTTATATTCAGTTAAAGCGCTCATTGCGGTTCAATATTTTGTTACGTCAATTTTAATAAACATATATTTTTTTAAGTTTTAATATTTTAAAAGTATAAAATTTTGGGCAATTAGTTGTCTTTTCAGTAGTGCAATGAATACATATTAATTTAAATTTAAAATTAAACAATAATTGCGGTCAATGACAACGGTAAAAATTAATACATTTTAATCAAATTGCTAATGTATTTTATAGCTGTATTACCCAAAAAATAAATACATAGGTGTTCAATTTTTATATACTACAGTTGACTTCAGTTGGGTTTATATTTTAAGCAATTTATCGTAAGTTACTGTTATTACTCTAACATTTGTATACTTATAACATACATAAAGAAGCATCCAAAGAAACGTTAAAAAACGCGAATCAACTTACGCAACTAGAGCTATAACATGCTAACAGTTAAAATAAGTGTATATCTAACGTTTGATGCCACCCCAAAATGAAAAAGTTCTGTTTAAATGTAACAATAATTTAACCTTGACGTGTAAATTTGCTGCTCTCACAGAATCGATTTTGGTATTAATTTATGCTTTGATAAAAAAATCCGGGAACACTTCGCCGGGTGGTCTTGTGGCTTTGATGACTCTCACACCATTCTAAAGGAAGTACAATGGACGACCCATTTGAAAATTAAATGTAGAAAATCGCTCCACGATTTTTTCTGCGGTCGTTTAGAAAAAAAATATTCGAAATATCGTAGAACAAATAAAGTAACAAAATCATAATATCGTACATAAAATCTAAGTATATTAAAAGTCTGTAAATTCATTCAACGACTCTTTACTTCTTAATATGAGTATGCTAATTACTAATAAGATCAAGTTGAATAAGTTCACCAGACGCGTGGTAAGAATTGAAAATAAAATAGTGTAAACATTTCGAGGGGATAAAACTTAAAATATTTAAAAAAATGTACATTAAAAATAAACCGCACGAATTGAATTTTATGTAAGGTTTTTTATACTTTTTAATAGTGCTTTTTTATTTTATATATAATTTTAGTGTGTTAACAGTATTCATACATACATATGTATATACATTTGTACAATGCAAATATTTTTTTAAATTTAGCAATTACTGCCCCATGTGATTATAACATTCATACGCGGGGTATATGCTTATTGCAGAAGTCAGTCTTGTCAGCCTACGGGAACAAAAAGTTCATATAAAGAAAACGCGAATATAGTGCTTGTGAGTTATTGTATAATATTTATTTCCGTTTTATTATAAAGCACTTGTGTCTTTCACTTTCTGAATCAATCAAATATTTATTGCCTTCGATAACGATAGTAGTTCAGTTGGTGATACGCAAAACGAGCCTTTGTATGTTCGCTTTTCATTTAATTCAAATATCAAAGTGCTTGCCGCTTTGAGTGTAGGCGTGTTCAAAGCAAACATTTACGTAACATCGATTCCATCGATGTCGGTTCCTAGAAATTTGAACATTCCGGTGCTTTTATAGATATTCAGGGTCACGGTTACACTAGCAAAAAGCAATCTATAACATTTTCAAGGCTATGAATGAAACCCGTCTGCAATTGGAATTCCTGGATGCCACGAATATTTTGTTGAAGCGCAAATATATATTCGGTGACAAAATTGAACTCTCGTTGTGTAGTTTGATTTCATATTAAATATTACGGATTCCATTTCTGTTATGCAATTTGCGATGCGCAATATTCCCAATAACTCTTTTTTATTCTCGGAAAGCGCATTTAAAATATCGCCTCAGGCAAGAGTTTTCGTGTTTTGTGCAGTTACTGCACTTTAGCTGAAAACAATAAGACTTTGGTTTTGTTTCACTTTTTATACCCTTCTCTGCGACAGTTATTACATTCTTTTTACTTTAGGATAAACAATTGTACTATAAACTTAATGAACTTTACTCTTACGAAATAACAAAGAAGACAAAATAATTATTTCAAAACAACGACTATGTTTTCCGAATTAAAAATAAAAGTTTAATAACACTGAAATCATTAGCTGAACAACATCCGATAAACATTTCTTAAGAATTTAGAATAAAACGTACCACATTGAAATTTGTTTATGTCGAATCACTTAAACGGTTTGCCTTTGATGCAACCTTATAATAACTATGATTATGAAGTATAAATATTTGTCTGTCGCACCTTCCTCGGACGATTTGAACTTCCCTGCGACAGTATGAGCCACATCGTGCTAACACAACAGCTGTTATAAACCTGCTCAACTTTTTTTCAAAGCGTCAACCATGATTGATAGAAACGACGATTAACAAGATTGTGATACGAGCTATCGTTAATTAATTTCAAACACCGTCGTCTAGAGCGTTATATGCTGAACGAAAAATTGATACTAGGCCCAGCAATTGAAATGATTGAAAATAACAATTATACCGGATTTTTAAAGCTTACTTACTTGGGCTTGGGCTTTATCTATTTTAGTCACACAAGAACCTTAAAATCCATGTATGCCTTTCCTATACGTAGAAACATGTACTGGTCATATACTTTATGTTTGCTCGTTTACTCAACTTCTTAATTCATGATGTACATAAATGATAACTATGGTGCGAATCACATAGTTCGTAATCGCTCTCCCCTGTCTCTGGATCAAGCTTAGTTTTTTAAAGAAGTATACACAACATTTATTTCTTCAATCTCTACAACTTAAATAGGTTCTCTATAATTATCATTGCTCTTCAATTGTCATAGTTTCTTTGAGAATCTTCGAAAAACTCTATCTGACCTCTTTCAAGCCTAAACTCCCCTTGGTTCGCACCTGTTGGAGATTGCGGTGGCATACAATTGCCCTCGGAGGCACAGATTGATGACGTGTTAACGATTTTGGGCGGTTTGATCGGTTAATAACAAGGACAACTAATACGGAGCTACGTGCGGAATATGACGCTTTGTGAGCAGTAAATTAGTTGTCACGCTGGCATACGTCGATGCAATATTGACGATGCTACGGGATGGTGTTATATAATATGGTTTGCCTACTACAGATAGTGATAAAAACAGGGCGAGGGCTTTTCAACCATTCTTCATTTATATTTAGAATCAAAGAACGAACTATAACTACCTAACTGTAATCAATAATTTATTTTATCTTTATTAGGAAATCTTTTCTAAAAAGATTATTCAAGTTGCGAAAAAAATTTAAAAACACGTATCAATTGGCAAACAATTGGAAAAGATAAAAAAAATTATGTTTCTAAATATAAAGTATAAACTAAGCTTTTGTAATTTCTATTCAACAGTAAGCAGTAATATTTAATATCTACATCATTTAATTGGGAGTAATTAATTTTACTAGATCAACGGCATCAGAATTGAATATTTAAGTTACCATTAACTTAGAATATTAAATAATTGCCAAATCAAATCTGGCCATCATAAGGCCACCGTAAAGGATAAATAAGCCATCCGAAATTATGTTCATTAAGAGGAAGAAAACCGTCATCAATTTTGAAATGTATTTATAAATAAATCCATTTAATCCGTTAAGGTCATATCCGTTTAAGGTCGTAACATGAAACATGAGAAAATTAAAACTTAAGTTGTTCTTAACACCCAAGGTGAGAGGAAGAAAGCTTTTAATAACCTAGTGCGTCGTACGTTCAAGGTTTCAGGACGATACTAAATATCAGTTACAAATAAGGCAAGTGTTGAATTATAAAGCGTTTCTTAAATGAAGATAATGACGAAGAGAATATGATACTTATCTAACGATGGTTAGTGCTAGGCTAGACTAACGTCAGAAAAATCGATCAATGGGCTTTGTCTTTATCAAATTTGACTAGATAGATTTAAATTTTATTTTTGATTACAAAAAACTGTAATGTATGCTGAAAAATGAACTTCGGATGTTCGAGGATGTCTTAATTTATAGAAACAGTGTGGATAATCCGTGCCAACTGGCAACAAAATAGTCAGGACTGCTTCAGTTCTTCATGGAAATATTAAGATTTGAATTTTATTTCGGTAGTATTTTTTAAATTGTATTTGCCCAATGAAACTCCGTATTTCGATTAAAACTATATAACGGAGTAGCAGTGTGAAGAACGTAAAGTGAATTAAAAAATAATGAATCTTTTTCCAATATCTGTGTTATCTGATATCTCTGTGTATAATTAATTACCTGGTCATAAACGAAACATAGTAAAAGAAATATTTTATCAGAAGGAAACATCATCACAATTCTCCCCGTCTGTTGAAATTAATGAATTTTATAAGTAATGAATTGTTTAGGAAGTTTTACCAGGTTATTCGTTGTGTATACATGTGGATTAACGAGTAGCCAACACTACCGGTAATTGAATGAACGGATAACCTTTTTTTCGCTCA